GAATTTGTGTTTCCTTCATCATATGAAACTATGCAGCATTACTCGCTACACAATCTATTATTTCTATTCATACAGAGGTTTCACTCAACACTCGATACCAGGAAACGTCTTCACTAGAGTTTTACAGAACAGGATGAAAAATTCAGTCGACACACAAATTCGAGATCGACAGGCTGGATTTTGTGAGGATAGAGCGTGTACCGAAAAATCAAACATGACACTACTGATTATTATGCAACAATCAATAGAATGAACTCTACTACTGTACATCAGCTTCATCGACTACAAGAAAGCATTCGAGAGAGTGGACAGGATGACACCATTGAGGCTTTGACACTACAGTGTGCCTGACAAGATATTTTGTATCATGCGGAATTCTTATGATGCATCAAACAACAAGATCTTGCATGGAGTAGGTTAAAGAATGCTGATCGGCGACATATATTCCATAAGGGAGTAATAACCATCCAGTGTGTTTTGACATAATGTTAATAATCTTGCATAAGACTATTTTGAAGTACTCATCACGTTTATTGTTACATTGTTTACGATCTTACCATATGCTGTCGAATTTGTGGACAGGAACATATCAGTCCCCATTGTTACATGTGCATTCTAAGCGGATTGTGTGCATGCTGACTGTAGGTCACAAGTTTCCTAGTGGAGTTGTTAAGTTAAAAGTACAGTCTCAGTTCTCATGACCACTCCAAAATTTAAATACATCCACCTCACAAACTTTTACAGAGGTGAAACATTTATTCTAGTTTCGACTGACATCCATTTTTCTGTTTCGTAAACTCTATTCAAATTAAAGTATGCATATACTTCAGACAGTAAACTTTTAGCTTGTTTAAACAACCTAATTTTTTGAAAGCAACATGATAGCATTGTTAATAAACACATAAATCTAAATAAATTTCGAGAAGATTGTAGGATGATAACATGTCAGTAATAGTTTTTATCTACGAAATACTGTCCTAGTCAATTCATTCCGTTACCATGAATGAAATGTACATTGTACAGTGATAATATCTGGAATTTGCATACAAAATGTGAATGAACATATTTCAAGTTACATTTTCATTTGTTTATATTTGACTACAGTTTAAAAAAACAACAAACTAAAACAAATAAATTGCTATCAAATAAATTTCGAATGAAATCTATACAAACTTACTATTTACTCTAAATTGGGGATTTATTGTGATTGCTGCATTTAATTTAACGATTGTAGAGTTAACATTCATTACTGAGGTTTTATATGCTTAAGTGTCGATTTTTATATGTACGAAGACATTGTTTAATCTAAATGGAATCTATACAATTTATATGGTGAATAAGTGTATCAGTTATTCAACTTGTTAAACAAAACATGAAAGCATTTATTTTATGTTTTAAATTATATCACTTTTTTGGATAGTTTTGCTTTTAATCCAATAATTAATAAATGTTCCTTTGAAAAGAATAGACAGTTTAATTTCAATTTATTGATTGATTTTAGTTGGTACTTATTTTCAAAAGTTGTTTGTGACTTGTTCAAAAATTTACATGTCATGAAATGTAGTGAAAAGGAAAAGTTCAGATACTGCACACATTTAAGTTAGTTCAATTCAGTTATCTACATAAATATTTCTAAAATGTATAGCACATTTTAAACGAAAGAAATAATACTCAAGCTAGAAAATGCAACATTTCCCCTGTAATTAAAGCCCTATCACAATAGTCTCAATATGACTTAAGTGTTTGTTTTTATTCCATCACCTCACATTTACACAGAGATTTGAATACATTATCTACGACTTTAAATGTCAACAAGTTATCGCCCTGGGCAACAGCATTTTGTCAATACAAATACAGACATGAATAAATAGTTTTAGAATAAGGTAAAAGTAAATACAATAAAATAAACTAACACATATTTTGGATATTCATTGCGTTAGCCAAAGTTTAACTTTAATGGAAGTTACAAATTTTAAAATTTAGTATTGTAGATTTTTAAAATTTCAAACTGATTAAAATATTCAAACCTAAGGGGGATAACTAAACTTATTATTTTTTAATGTAAACATGTCTGTGATTGGATATTATATCGTTTACAACAGATAAAATATTAGATTATACGAATTGTACTGCTTATTCTAGAGAAATCTAATTACTGTTTTTTTTCTCAGTAATAATAAAATTTATATATTATATCACAGTTTTCATCCTACTCAAAAATGTCATAATATACAGAAGTTTTGAAGCATTATTCACAACGCTTAATGCTTCATTAAACTGTGACCTAATAAACAAGGTGATATAATAACAGTGATATTGAAAGCTAGCTTACAATCGTTAAAAAAGGAATTCAGTGAACAAACTTTCAAAAGAACTATCTTTCGAACATAACTTAAAATTCGAAATTGATGCTTTTCATAAATGATAATAAAGCACAACTTTTTTCACAGGAAAAATGAAATTAACTCTGATGTCTGAAAAAAATGAAAGATCTTAAATTATTAGTTATGTAAGGCATCTAAGTGAATGTAAATTACTTGTCTGTAATGTCAACCATTCTGATTACCAAGATCACTTTCAGTTAGCTTTACTAAAATCATATCTGATTAAGTCATACGCGTCCGTATCCTCCTGTTGATGAAATTTCAAGTTGTAATTGACTATTTTGGTTGACGTATAAGCTCTCTGAGCACATGTCTTAGTATGTAACATGTCATCAACATGTTGATTATATATGTGAATATCATTAAAAACCAGTGCACATATTTCGTTCAATTTAAAAATCATCATCACCAGTGCTTATGTTTACATTTAAAATAGCATATTCTGTGGCATTAAATGCTTGTTAATAAGACAGCATGTACTGGTTGAAAGTTTTATTGTGAATAATTGAGCTAACATTCAAGTAGACTTAGCTGACAATGACTGTTGTTTATATACATGCATTTAATTTTTATAAGTAAATAGTTTCCTATTTACGTGAGCTTATCAACTTCTTTAACCAATTTCTACCAGACTATATCGGTAGATTGAACTAATTGGTTACTGTGTTTTGAGTGATACCGTGTTTGCCTAGTCTACAAAGTTGATTTTTTTCTGTCTTTGAAATTATGATACCAAGATCTTTCTTAGTATTGCTTACACCGTTTTTCGATATTAGTTGATTGTAGACAATCACTAGGTAGCCTTAAATCCAAATTTCATGCTGGTTGAAAATAGTCAGTCTTAGAACAACTCATGCTCAGCGTTTTTGCTAAATAATGTCCTAGTGAAAATGATTTTTCCTGCGAAATTTAAATCCTAATCGCTTAATGTTATTATCATAAATTTCAGCAATAAGAAATTCAGGCTACTATTGACTAGGAAATGTATACTGCTTGGTCAACAAGTAGTAATCAGTCCTTTTTTTGTTTAGTCTTTAGATTTGCGTCTTTCTAATTACTGGATCTGACCACTTAATTCAAATTAATTCATCAAAAGAGTATACTTATTTTACTGTTATCGATTAAATAGTTTGAATGGCATATCATTTGATATTCATCAATATAAGGTTGTTGAGATTGTGGAGTTTCATTGAAATCATGGACTGGTAAATGTTAAACTACCGTGAGGGACCTGGAAGCAATAAAATTTCGCTTCAATCCAGTTAAAGACTCATCAGAAGTGCGCATCCATGACTTTCAAACACGGTAGTTGAACCAAGGACCTTCGTTCACGTGCAAAAGGATTTGGTTATGAAATATCGTGGATTAACGTCGTTGGATGCCGGTTTAGAGGTGTTTGTGCTTATAATGATATTCAGTATTTAATTTATTTGATTAACCCAAATTTTAAAGTGAAGATAAACTGTGTTGGTAACTTTTATTTTTTACTATGAATGAAAATAAAAAAATTCGATAGAACAACTTTTTCGTTACTTTTTTAATTCATGTGAGCGGAATGAACCTAAAATATTATGTATGTTTACTTTAGTCTTGAATTTGACAATTGAAAATTTAATTACTGAGCAAATATATATTCAGTGACATATATTACAGAATTCATTCTACAACTTATTTGTAAATTTAATATCCCTACATACTTTATACAGAAATCTATTTAGTTAAAAAAGTAGATTTCAGTATGTTGTTTTGTAAAAAGTAAGATCAAACTAGAATTCAGAGAATATTGATCAGTATAAATGTTCGTTGAGTAGAAAGTATAATTGGCAATGCTCATATTCCTTTTTGTACTAAAATGAAGTCATACAATAAAAACTTCAATTATATTGAAAATATTTACTTTATGGACCGACTTTAGTTAAATAGAAGTGAATAGGTGGAAAACGTTGAATTCTTAGTCCGATTGTCGTGCATAATCAAGGTCATCTAGATTTATCTAATAGTATGTGATGAATTAGACCACCTAATTACCTGTGCAGTTGTAAAGAGATATAAATTTAGTCGACTAGCATCATTGTTTATTGGTTTGACAAGTTAATTTATTCGTAAAGTTAGTCATTCAACTAAAGCCTCTAATCAACACTTCTCTCACTGTTTGTTAAATAATATGAAAACGAGAAAACTGTTGGAAATGATAAGTTTAGTTTTGTGCTCTGTGACTCACTGTTTTCAATTTTTTGAAAATGCAAAAATGTGTTTTTTTTTAAATTATTTGGATTATTAAAAGCAAAGTTTGATTATTTTTCTCACATGGTTATTTGTTAAATTTTCTATTTCAGAATAAGGGATTGAGTCTCTTAAATTATCAAACCTACACCTCATTAATTTCAATGGAACACATGTTAACTATTTTATTTATATTTTCAAAGGTCATAGATTTGTTGTCAGAAATTTGTAAATTATTAGAATTTTCACAAGAAATTATGGTGGTTATATATTAATTAAAATCTTATTGAGCAGTCTATTTTATCTCAAACTCAAAATCAGTTTTATGTGCAAGTCATTACAAAAATTAAAACGAAACAAATATTTCATATGTTGTATCAAATAGCTGCTTACCTTTCGTTTAGCTCTAGTCAACTTTTGATCTCTTGCACTATCACGCTCTCCGGGTGTTTGTAAACGATTCACTTTGATACCTATGGCAGTGTATGTCCCACAGATCATACCTAATGGTAGAAAGTATTGTAATATCATTAATACTATTGTGTAGACAACATCGATTTGCAGTGTAACAGGTTTGTCAAACATTTGTAGTGTTATTTCATTATTAATTTGTCCCAAATTTGTAAAATTATCCACATTTATTGTTTTAATCGATGATAATAAAAGACTCCAGTCTTCTACACAAAATGTTTCATTGTCACGCTTCACAGTTTTATTTACAATAGGAACAGGTAATGGAATAATTAATGCTAATATCCATACACAAAGTAATAAGTAAACAGCTTTACGTTGTGTCATTCTTGGTTGAAGTGGAAAAAACACCAAAACAAATCTATCCCATGAAATAAGTACATGAGTTAATGCACTGACAAATACACTTACACCTTGTGCATATGGTACAATTTTACATAATGGTTCACCAAGAGGCCACCATAGATAAACAATTTCTGTAATCACATTCATTGGAATGCATAATACAGCCATAAGTATATCAGCTAAACTAAGATTGAATAAAAATAAACTTGTTATACTTGAAGTACGCATGCCTCTTAAATAATTATCTGCTTTCCATTTTCGTTTTGTAGTTAAATTAATACGTTTTTCATTTGGTAAATTAGATATATTATTGGCTACAGTAAGTGATCCTGTATAATTTCCACCACGTGCTCCTGGTTCACATTGTTTATGTGTTGATTTAAAAATTACATAACGATGAGTATTTTGTACAATACACGTTTTACCACAACTACATTCATGTTGACTACTTGGACATTCATCAACCCATGGATCTATATTATTATTATTATTGATAGATTTGGACAAGGAATATTTCTTTTTACATCTTAATGTATTTGTGAAAAATTTGAATATATTACAATAACGAAAGCGTAATAATATGCATACAATTGTATTTCCAACTACAGCTAATATAACTACCGCAGCGAATATGACAACTAGAAATGTTACTTCGCTTTTTGTAAATGTTAAATGATTGAATTCATCAACATTACTATGAATTTGCTCATCCATAACACAAATGAACACAAAATGAATAAAATGTCAATTGTTTTTTTTGATTTTATTATCCAAATGCAATAAGGAATTCAAAAGTATTTTTTTTAAAGTTTTGATTAAATAAAAATTTAGTTAGTCATTAACGATAACATTTAAAAATTGATAAATTAAATCAGAGATTTAATTACCTTGAAAAGTTTTACTTGATTGGCTAAAGTATTTCATAGGTTGTTTCTTATTTTGACCAATAAAATCTTTTACTATTGAACAAATAAACTACTTTATTCCAATGTAAATAACAACTTTTTTAATGCAATACAAATGGCAGTAATTTTGACATTTCGTCATTTAGATATGTCAGGAAAAATATTTACGAGATATTTTTCCAACTGTTTTGTGTTTAACGTAAAAACAATCAATACACCCAAAGGACTAGTGAGTGATGTAAGAATGATAATGTTATGCGTGTCATTAATTTGTGCCTTCAAAAAATCATCATTGTCGAAGACCCAAACTGGAAACATCTACATCTTTACAGTAATTTTAATTGTTCAGTTTTCGAATTCGATTTCGTTTCTCGATTCTACACACCCTGATAAATTGATAAATTGAAGTAAATTGAGAATAAGACTTGTAGGAATACAAATATAATTAGTTATAATGGAATAAACAAATCATTTCATACCTTATTCAAAAGAGTTGAATCATGTTTTCATAATAATTATACTGCCAATCGAATTATATTGATTACCTTTCAATGTGGACACCAGTCTAAATGATCAATCTTTACATGAACTAAATTGATATGTAACTGCATTGAAGGTGGCCAACATGAAGCCCTGAAATTTGGTTTTATTCTTGATCGGTGAATTCCGATCACCATTTAATTGACTGGATAAACATGATATTGGTCACCAATACTCAATTACTAATCCACTAAACATTTAAGTCATAATTAATCCGAATATCGCTTTTGCTTCAATCAAAGTATCCTAAAGAATTTGAAGTATTTACAAATCCTTCCAAAATACCTAGAAATACAGTATCATTAGGATAGAACGATTGGGTTCATACTTAATATATTACAGTGGAGATTTTGGATAAAAAAAAATACTTAATCTTTGATTAGATTAGTCGTTTTGTACCTTTTTAACTAAAGTATTTATAATTTATACTCATAACCAAATATTTGACGGTTATGTATAATATCACATGCATTGATGACTAACCGATTGTATTATTACTATTATTATTATTATTATGACATAGTTACAAAGAAAAGAAAATTTATTTATTCTACAGATGAACGATACAGTGTTTGGTTTTGTTCAAGTATTAATTAAAAGATAGAAAGACTAGAATGAGATTCGTTCGATCACAGGTGATGGTTAAAATAAATACTAAAACATTAATAAGAATCTTTATTCAAATAAAATAGAAGAATGTCAATTAAGAGGATAATTATTATGTAAACATGGTGGTGATTCAATCCTTTGACTCAAAACTCTTGTTCGAGCTTTTGCAAATTATCGACAGTTTGAAAAATAGCTTGAACCGAATCACTAATAGAAATGTCTAAACACTGAAATTTTTTTCAAACTTAATTTTCCGCCTCATTGTTTCACACTAAATCAAAGCAGAACCACGGTGAAATCATTCCTTTATATTTAAATATATATATATATATATATATATATATATATATACCGTTTATACAGTTATAATGAGACTTGGAATTTAGATTTCACTACCACTAGATTAGATACATGGTTGTTAGAATATGTACAGATAAGATACCCGATGTACAACTGGAAATAATAGACACTTGCAGTTTAGGCTAGACAAAACTTTATTCTACGCAACTACAATCACTTACAATCAGTAAGCCTAAAGCGATGATCCATCGTTATCAAGAAAAACACAGGTTTCATAGTCGATAAGTTGAATGTCTATTTGTTAGCAGCCACTGGTCGATTAAATTTTACTTCGACTAGCCGCATATCAGAAATGCAATGAAAATAAATTTAGAACCAGTTTACGGTGTTCTCGTTTATCAGTCTTCTTTCCCAATTATATCAAAGGCATACATTTTGGACAGATCTAAGAATCTATAGTAAAATCATTCCAGTCAGAATCATTACATATTATAAACACCAAGAATAATTTACATCAAAATTTATAATAGTGCTACGCGAAAATGATTTGAAATTCATAGTGTATCAATAAAAGAAATCTTAAGTATGAAATAGGAAATTTTTTCTTTAACTTTTCCTCATCTCCACACAGGTGAAGGCATCATCACTATTGTCGTAAACTGCCATTTATGCTTATGTATTCCATCTCAGTGAACGTCATATATATTTATATATATATCATTTCAGATTTAACGCTATGGAAGATTGGATCATTGAAGAGTATTCTGGCTAACAAATTCATTTTCAGTGATATTCAGTCGATGAAGTCTTTCTGTAAATTGATCATCTTTTACACCATCGCCTATCGCATCTCTGCCACATTAATACAATTTGTAAACGCTCACAATTAACAATCATAGTGATGAATATTCACGTTAATCGAGACTTTTCTCATTTTTTCTATTCATTCTATCTGCCTGTACTCCATTGAGGTTAATAGGAGTAAGTGATTTCTTGTTAGTTGATGCAAATTTATCAAGACTTTCATAATCGTTAGTGAACTCATCATGTCGATCAAAATCCATATGAGGACTAATCCACTTGCCTTTTGTTGATATATTTTGACTTATTTTTTTAGTATAATTTTCTACTTTATCATTGTTATTTTCCATGGTTTCAGTGGATTTTGAGCATTGATCAGTTCGAACTTTTGAGTTCATATTGAAACTATGATTCTGGTCTCGATTTGTTCTACGTGTAACCATTGATTTAGCTGACTCAAAACTTGTACTAGCTGGATTATATATCCAAATTCGTTTGCTAGTTTTATTTGTTTCTTCATCCTGTTCAAATTTTAATGCAGGACATGTCTCAACAGAAAATGAAGTTATTTTGGGACTAAATGGATTACTACAAGTATTAGTAGAGCAACTTTTATTAATTTCCCTCAATAGTCTTGTATTTGGTCGTGCAAAACGTATAGACATTTGCTGATCATCACAATAAGAACCCTTCAAGATATCACTAACTGAATGTCTGTCACTTTGACCATTAACTGTATTTGAATCTCTCATTAGTGTTGAATTATTTGAATGTAACGTAATATTTAGTGGTAAGTTATCTGATTTGTTTGGGTGACTGACTGTTTCGTCTGATTTCAGCTTTACTTCCAAATCATCACCACGCTTCACTGTATCGTTGATGTTAGCTAGATCATTTATTTCCGTTGATTCATTGCTTAAACCAGTCATTTGATTATCATCATTTGAAGACCAATATGATATTACTTCATTGTTTTGAATTACAGCATTCTTCATTTCATCAGACTCTTGTAGAAGAATTTGACTATCATTGTATGGCTTTGTTACATTTGAAATTGGTGAACTAGAATAAACTGGTGTGTTTCGATGCTTATCAGAATCATTCACTACATCAATGTCTGTTTCATTTTTTAACATTTGATCACTTAGAACTGAATTGTCCACCGTTCTGGATATGCATGTTATATCACAGGGTTGATTATTTACAATATTATCACAAGTATCTTTAAGATTGATATCACCACTATTATACTTCTTCTCTGAAAACTCTTCATTCTTGAACTTACGTTTCCTAGTTTTCTTCATTTTACTTTTTCTATTGTAATCTGATTGGCTCTAGTAGTACCTTTTTTAAACTCAGAATTTTTAGTTTCTTGAATAGCTTTCTGTGTAAATGTTTTATCAACTGAATCTATACCATTGACTATTTTACAAGAATTATTCTGAGATAGACTATGTAAATATTGTTCAAACGACATTTTATCAAAACTGTTTGATTGTCGAGATGTTTGTTCTTTATCCTCATATGTCTGTCTATGGATGTTAATTGTATTAAAGACAGTGAAAGGTTTATGTTCATTGTCTACTTTTGTCATTTTAGTCTGAAATGAATGACTCGTCTTTTCTCTTGAAAAAGTAACCAATGGTTGTACTGATGCTGGTTGTTCTAGTGATAACGATATAGTTTGTTGATCATCAAAATCATGAGAGAATAATCTACTTTTAAGGTCATTCAAATATTCAGTTTTAGATGATTTAGCAAACCTTTCAGTTGGATCCCTTCGACTGTAGTGTGTGTGGTACTAAGTACAATTAAATTTATTATTGTCATTATTATTATTATTATTCAAAACAATGACAATCATATTCATGATTATCATTTTGGATGTACAAATTCACAACTTTACAACTCTGGAAATAAATTCGTTGAACAGTGAGAAAACTGATCACTGAACAAATCATGTTTTCGTTTACACTCTTTTATTTTCACTGCAAACAATCATCTTCGAAGCTTTCTATTTTTTCATTCCTAATAATACATATACGGGAAAATTTTCAATATTCTATTCATCTTATATATCTTGAATAAAAAATTTAATTCTGAATATTTTATATTATTTGATATTTTGAATTTAAGCATTAAATACTTCATAATACGAAAAGCTTAAAATTAATTGACATGTAATTGTAAATTAATTGTTTATATAACATTAAGTTGATGCTTAAAATCCTTTTTTTTATTCGTTATGAACATAAAATTCAAAATAAATCATAATTTTTGTGAGGATTAAAACATTGAAAAAAAATCTATAAATAATCTGATATCTTGAAATTCCCAGGGGAAATTCAAAAACTATGATATATAAACAATTGAAATTCAATCTTTTTGTTAACAATCAGGCTAAGAACTGGAATTTCAATTCAATACAATTCTAGGTGATATAAAATTTCAAGCAAGAGTACTGATATCAATTCTGATGAATGAAAATTATAATTTAATCTAATTCATGATGTACAAATTAAGTGAATTATTTATTATTAACTAATATATGAATGAAAGAAATAAAAATAAAATTCATTTTTTTAACATAACATTTGAGAAAAAAACAAACATAGAAAGACATAGTTTTATTTATATTTTATACAGTTCAGATTATTATTTTTATGGGAATGTTGTCACTTTTGTTTATTCATTAAAAATACTTTTACTTCAAAACTTTGTACATTAGTCATTGTTTATTTGAAAAATATTCTGACGTGATAAATTCAAATAACTCACAAAATTCTAGCATTGTGATTAGAAATCCATGTCATATATATGATTAAAGCAACTAGTAATTACTAAAACGTTGTTATTCATTACTTAATTGACAAACGTTTGATATGAAAGTGATACCAGAAGCGTTAGTTTTTACAAATCATCTACAACTGAGCTTTTATCAAAGAGCTAAAGAGAATATAACAACCAATGTGTTCATTTTTTGGAAATTCACAACTTCTCACTTCGATTATATAAACATCAAACCATAAGGCTGGAATTTAAAAGTGTGCATTTTCTAAATACAATCAATTTTCCAAATAGAACAGACGGTTTTTTTCACTGCCATTGGTAAAGATTGCCTTACTCTAGAAATATTAGCTCATCAAATTAGTGAATATTAACTGACTAATGAGCACACGATTATAATTTTCTTTAAAATAGTTTCATGAAGATCAACCTCACTGATAAGTAATTTTAGCCAAAATGTAACCTCACACTGGATGTAAGGAGAGAATGCTTTGGTTAAAAGTCATGAATCCTGAAAATCAAACATTTCCAGAATGAAACAGTTGTACTCAATCGTTGTACATTTCTTTTCTACAAAATACATGGTTGTGTATTAAATAAAAATGATGAATTCATTATTTAGAACAACCAACAATTCGCCATGTGATTGTTTTTGTTAAATTATTTAAAAATCTACAACTATTTTACAACTATGGCCCTTTTGAACATGTAGATGACAAGCTAATCGTTAACGACAACTATGTCAATAAATGACAGTTTTTGGGCAACCTTAATAGCATTTATCTGGCTATAGAATTTAACAGCGAAGACGTATATGAAAAAAGCATAGCTTTCATGTATATCTCTCACTACTCAGAATGGTAGACGGGTTCGTATAGAGAGGTATATTTAGAAATGAGACGCATACGTCAATATACTCCTTTTTCAAGACTTCAATTCCTCTCAGTTTAAAACAAAATTTCTTTACCCATAACATTTTTTCATTATAATATGAAGATTGTATCGATGAAGAAATAATTAAATGAAAAATAGACTATGAAACAGTTGGTATACAGTTTATTTCATCAAAGCGTGCATGTGACAGCAGAAGAAGTGGATAAAGGCTGATATTGTACGTAACAAATCCTTTTACCCAAGACTTTATTTCATAACAGCTCACCACAATGAAGTGTATTGAAAAGACTTTTAACTTGTATTCAACCTACCCAACTAAGGCATCAGCTGCACAGGAAATTAAGCATAGGATACCGATGTTGGACTCATCCAGCTTTGTACATTATTTTAGCTTATTTAGTGAAGCTAATTACGTAAGTCGTAATCAGGATTTCTTGTGTTCGTATGCGCGTAAAGGCCTACCGACACGGTTAGGAAAATGATTCATTAAGTTGATCAACAGCACTGCAGTTTCACCGTTAACAGATTACAAACATCAATTAGATAAAGCTTTCATAGTTTTATGTCACGATTCGAAAAATTTACCTAAAAGAACGAGATTATAGTTCTTCTTCATAAAAAAGGTCATCAAAAAGCTGAAGTGTATATCCAAAAACGATGCATCTAACCAGTCTGTTTACTGCAAACTGGGATTTGTTCACTCTATATTTAGATTCTATCGCACACTCAACAACAACTGCAAGAGAAGACGACCAGTGTAGCAGCATATCTTGGCAGCATCATCGACGAGAAAGGTGGACCCGATGCAGATGTGAGGGCGCGGATTGGCAAAGTAAGGGCTGCATTTCTACAACTGAAAAATATCTGGAACTCCAAACAACTTTCAACCAAAACCAAAATCAGGATTTTCAATACAAATGTCAAGACAGTTCAACTGTATGGAGCGGAAACTTGGAGAACTACCAAAGCCATCATCCAGAAGATACAAGTATTTATAAACAGTTGTCTTCGTAAAATACTTCGGATTCATTGACCAGACACGATCAGCAACAACTTACTTTGGGAGAGAACAAATCGGATTCCAGTGGAGGAGGAAATCAGAAAGAAGCGGTGAAATTGGATGGAGAAATAAGAAGACATATTTTGTGAGATAGTACCATTTCGTGCTTTCTCGTCAGTCACATACAAGCAACATGTTATTTGTGTAAATACAGTTTTGAAGATAAGGTCAAAATTTCTTATTTAGCATGACATTCACTCACTAGAACCATGGTAAACAAAGGTCAACATACAGTTGTTTTTGAACACATAAAGTTGGACTTTTACGACCAATCAAGATAGCTTCAAGTAGTTTTAGTGTGTGTGGGTTTTGATTACATGTCACAACTCTAAAGGCTGATTTTGGATCAATTTGATGACCACTCATCATTAGATGTTTTGCAATGGACGAGGCTGGGTTTCTTGATCGATTTTGAAATGATGGGCTAGGTTGATTAATCATGGATTTGATTAACCATTTTGGAATATGTTCCCCTATCCTGTCTTCCAATAGGCGATCTGTCCTCCCTAAGTAACTTTCTCCGCAGTTACATGTGAATTGGTAAATACAGTGGGATTTGGACTGAATCGGTCTTGGAGACTTGATTGGGGTTACTGAGATCGATTGGGTTGTTGTGATAAGCCTCAGATTAGCTGCATTGAAGGTCTTTTTTATTGCAGATGCAGTCTGTTTGGTTGTAATTTTGATGCAATGATCACCTTTGAAAGGTAACTGTAGGTACACTGGTTTCTTGGGCACATCAGTTGCTATCAGCTTCGTCATAGTTATGTTCTGATGACCAATAAACGTTTCGGGATATCCGTTTGATTTAAGTGTGTCAGTAATAAGCTTGAATTCTCGTTCAATGTATCAGCAGTGCAGATTCTACTTGCTCGAGCGAATAAAGTTTTGACAACAGAACGTTTATATTGTATGGGGCAGAAACTAGTGAAGTGGAGGTACTGTCCCGACCAGGTGGGTTTGCGGTGTACTTTTCGCCTGATTGATCCGTCTGGACGGCGATGGAGCAGGATATCGAGGAAGGCTAATTCATTATTCTTTTCTTCCTCATAAGTGACTTTCAGATTCGGGTGAATCGCATTAAATAAATCATTGATTTCATTAATGTCTGTAGAGTGTGGTAATATGACAAGAATATCGTCGACATATCGTTTGTAAAGTGTAATACCATCGATGAAGTGACTCACTTGCCTTTCTATCATTCCCATGAATATGTTTGCTAAAACAGTCTCCAAGACCGATTCAGTCCAAATCCCACTGTATTTACCAATTCACATGTAACTGCGGAGAAAGTTACTTAGGGAGGACAGATCGCCTATTGGAAGACAGGATAGGGGAACATATTCCAAAATGGTTAATCAAATCCATGATTAATCAACCTAGCCCATCATTTCAAAATCGATCAAGAAACCCAGCCTCGTCCATTGCAAAACATCTAATGATGAGTGGTCATCAAATTGATCCAAAATCAGCCTTTAGAGTTGTGACATGTAATCAAAACCCACACACACTAAAACTACTTGAAGCTATCTTGATTGGTCGTAAAAGTCCAACTTTATGTGTTCAAAAACAACTGTATGTTGACCTTTGTTTACCATGGTTCTAGTGAGTGAATGTCATGCTAAATAAGAAATTTTGACCTTATCTTCAAAACTGTATTTACACAAATAACATGTTGCTTGTATGTGACTGACGAGAAAGCACGAAATGGTACTATCTCACAAAATATGTCTTCTTATTTCTCTATTGAAATTGGATGGGACACACATTACGAAAAGCACCCAACTGCGTCACAAGACAAGCCCACTTATGGAACCCTCAAGGCAAAAAGAAAAGAGGAAGGCCAAAGACATGAGGAAAGTGAAAAAAACTTGAAAGAACTAGAAAGTGAAGTTCGGGACAGAGTTGATTGGAGAAAACTGGTGGGCGGCATATGCTCCATTGGGGGGTAACAGGGTTAAGTAAGTAAGTAAGTTATAGTTAGATTATATTCTTATCCTACATTCAATATCTTTTTTTATTTCTTTAGTCCACTCCTCAAATGTAAAATTCATTTTTCTTAGTTTAACATGAATTTCTCATCTCTTTCTCATTTCGATTAATAAATATATCCTCTCTTCATATGAGTGTTTTAGTATTATTGTCATTATTAACTTCATTTCTCCTACTGGGCGTTATCTTTACATAGTTTCTTTAAAGTGATTACAGTTTGATAGCTTGGAATGAGCTTTCCTAACCCTCGTCCAAAATGATTTATTATAGATGTACCTAAAATTTAACTGATGCAAAAGTTCACGATTTTAACAAACATCATTGTTGCATTTACTTATCTTAGTCATCGTTACGAAATGATTGTGGAGTTGAAAACAGCAGAATCAACTAACGAGTCTATTGAAACAACTTGTTTTTATTATTAAATATTCTTTGTTAAAGAATATTTTTTGAGGATCTTCAGGCTGTTTACCTCAAGTGGGCACACAGATGTTACACTCAATGAACATCCAAAGTATTGCTGAAGACTCATTTAAGCATAAATTCATCACTTTTTGCAGCAGTACTTCAGTAGTCGATTAGTTAAAAGATAGATATTATTGAGTGTGACAAGAATGTATATTGATTTTATCGTAACAAATTCAACAATTTTATTCAATAAAACATTATTTTTAGTTGATGATTTTCTTCACTAAGATGCATTATGGGGAATGACCGTACTCAAACCTTACAGATCTTGAAAAGACAGAGTACTAGCTACTGACCATTAAACTAGACCGACGATTTGCAACACTGCATGATCGAACTTTACTACTTATACATGAAATACCATGAACAATTAAGAACATTAGACCTTTAATCCATGTGCTTCCCAAATGAGCAAATATTTCACTACATGTTTTATCTCAGATTATTTCAAAAAACTAGTTAAAAATAACAACAGCTTACTCCGATTGAAAGAAATTTAAAAGAGACTTACAAATCTACTCGTTTCATATT